AACATTTGATATTATTTTAGCTTCTGTGTTATTTTTTGTTAAATATGTTTTTTTGCTTTGTTCTGAATACTGAAAAAGTAATCATTTGTTCTTAATGGCTGGTTTGACTGGAATCAAATAAGGTTGGTCACTGACCTTTGCACTTTACTGTATGTGTAAGCACCTATATGCAATATTAATGTCCCATATCGCTGCTGTTGGAACAAAACTTTGTATCTACAAAAAGTAACTTCACAGGAGAAGGAAAAACATTCTTAACTTTTAATGGAAGTAAAAGGAGAAATATTTGTTTCTCCATTTAATTCCATTAAATTTGGACTTCCAGTCATTTTGGACCATTTCTGTTGGTTCCTTCATCATGAAATTTTGACACAAAATAAAGCGCAACTGCCTTTTTTAAATAATGTCAGAAAATGAAAATAACACTAAAATGAAGATACAAGGTTTTGTCCCGACAGCAATGATATGCTTTATATATAAGTATGTCCCATATGTATTATACTGTATGTATATCGCTGCTGTCAGAGCAAAACGTTGTATCTCCATTTTTGCTGTTTTTCAGTTTTTGACATAATTTGAAGGTACCTGTCCTTTATACTGTGTGTAAATTTTATGTTGAATGGACAAACAGAAATGACCCAAAATTACTTGGAAAAAGCTCTGGTTCCATTGACTCTCATTAAAAGTAAAGTATGTTTCCTTCTCCTGTAAAGTTCTCATTTTGGAGATATGAGGTTTTGTTCTGACAACAGTGATAAGTAAGTATCTCTGTACTAACACTTAACCTAACTGTTACCTTAACCGTTGCTGTCTTACTTTAAAGCAATGAAATATGCAGCTTTTGTGAAAATGCACTGTACAAAATCAGGACCTTTTTGTTGATCCTAACATTGTAGGTAAGCCCTGTTTATCCTGGTTTGCACAGAAAATTAGGACATTTTTATCCTGAGAATGTACAGAAACAAAAACTCCACATCTACACATATTTTATTTACCTCTTTGAATACATCTGCTTTTTTGAGACGCGTATAAAGGGCTCTCACTGTAGATGTGTGAAAGATTGTTTTGTTTGCCCTGTATTCATGATGCTATTTTTTCCTGACCCTTCATCACTGAGTTTAAGCCACAGTCTTTACAGAGTGATATTCCCTTTGGGGGCTCATGCAGGTCTGGTGATGTGATGCCTGTAGGGTTTTGTATGTGTTGATGGAATGATCATTTGACAAATGGCCTCAGAGGGAGTGAAAGCTCTGAGCTGGTGTTATTACATATCTCCCCTTCACATCTCTCATACCTGTCCTCTCACACTGCCCTTTACGGACAAAGATGAGGACACAACTCTCCTAGCGCACAGATGATATCTGCAATTGTTAAGCTACTAAAAATAGCCACTCACTGCCCTTTTCAAAATGGATTAGTTTTACCTGCACTGTTAGAAATAAAGGTTCTATGCAGGTACAGTTTTGTTTATGAAGGTACAAACAGTGTAAATGTTCCCTCAGAGGTACAATAGTGGATTTAAAGTCCAATTGTGTACCTTATAGAAGTTTTTCCAGGTGAGAAGTAAACATTTTTACCTTTTCATAACCTAATGATTTAAAACGGATCAATAAAATAAAAAGCCTGGAGACGAGATGGGGTGTGTGGAGTCAATACAGTTTAGAAAATATAATTTCAGTGGATTATGGTACAGTTATGTTCCGTGACTAAAGGTACAGAGATGTACCCTTGAGGTTCCCACCCTAGTGACAGTTTAGTACCTTTTTTTCTGAGAGCGTTTTGGGGTACTGTAATTTAACTGATTACTAACAAGTCATCTTAACTTGTAGAGAGAGTGTTCAGTGTGATGCTCGCTCTACCATTTCAGAATCATCTTTGTGCTAAGATGCTTTTGGAAAGCCCAGCCAAGATCTGTTTGTTTAATCCCATACAAATCTGCAGTGTCTGTCATTTTTATGCAAATGGAATGACAAAACCTTCTCTCTATTTTAGAACCGTCACGAACATGCCCCTTATTTCCATTTCCTCTTGGGAGGAACCCAGACTCCATTTTAAGGATGTTCCATTACTGTATTAACTCAAGTGAAGTTTGTTAGATGGTGCTTTAATGGGGAATGGGACAGGGTCAACAGAAATGTAGATTTGAGGAGATGTTGACAGAAATAGTTTAATGTAATTTAAATAATTTTATTTTTAAATCTTAAAAAAGGTGGACAAAGCTGTTTATAAACTAGAGCAATAAAATACCTTAAAATACTTATTACTTTTCTATCAACTATCAACTTTTAATTCACTACATTACCATCTTTTATACATAATTGCTGATATAACATTGTGACATTACACTCTCAGAAAAAAAGGTACTAAACTGTCACTGGGGCAGAACCCCTCTTGTCACTGGGGTGATACCCTTAAGGGTACATCTTAGTCCCTTTAGTCAGGGAAGATAACTGTACCATAATCCACTGAAATTATATTTTCTAAGTTGTATTGACTCCACACACACCGTCTCGTCTCCAGGCTTTTATTTTATTGTTCTGTTTTAAAACATTTTCTTATGAAAAGGTACAAATGTGCACTTTTCACCTGGAAAAACTTATATAAGGTACACAATTGGACCTTAAAACCACTGTTGTACCTTTGTGGGGACATTTACATGGTTTGTACCTTGATGAATGAAAAATATACCAGAACCTTTATTTCTAACAGTGTACTCTGCTAGTTTTCTAGCCAGCAAGAAACAACAATAGAAGGCCAATGCACCACTGTTCTCATTCTAAGAAGCTTAGATCAGAGAAAGTAACAAATGCTTTCTTTTTAAAAATCTGCACCTCATTGTTTCCTCTTTCCTTTGTCCCACAAGTAGCCACTCGCACTGAAGGCAAAGTTGGCGAGGGCTTGTCAAAAACAGTACCGAAACTCAAGGCGTGTGCCGTGTTGTTATTGTCATTGAATGTGGTGCCTGTAGATTAATGCTGAACTGAAACTCCAGGCTGTGACGTTTTAATCCAGGCTATCTGAAATTTAAAGACTGTACATAGATGCTGTATGAATTGATCCAACCTCCTCTGATGAAGCTATTTCAGCTTAAACTGTGCTTATTAGTCTTTCCCACCATTCACTTCTTTAGGAAGAAAGCTGTATCACTTGAAGAGGCTTTGGCCTTCGTCCCGTATGAAAACAAACAGCTTCGAGGGCTCATTTTGTAATTGCACGTGGACACACTGGAACTTGTTTGTTGTTTAGTCTCTAGGAAAAACAAAGGCCCAAGACTTGGCAAAGGGCTTTAGAAAAGTTGTTGTACACTTTTCAAACAAAGACACGGAGCTGTAGATCATGTAATCATCCCATTAGAGACCGAGAAAACAAGTGCGTGCTTGTACTGGTTGTTTAGCCTCTTGGGACAAACAGCACAGACTCTCTATCAAGCCCTTGTTGTATGAAAACCCTGTAACTCTGTTTTGAAGATGCCAGCTGTCCTTTGTAATGTATGAACAATTCATGTTGAAGGGATGAATAGAAATGGCTTGTAATAAAACATCATTATATTGGATTACATTAAAGTTAAGGACGTTTTCTTCCTCCTCCTATAAAGCTACCATTTTGGAGATGTAAGGTTTTCTTACGTCAGTGACGATTTGGGTGTGGAGTGCTTGAGTACATTAGAATCAGAGAATAGGGAGTAGCTTTGGGAGTCAGTGACATCATCGCAGCCATGGGAGACTTAGTGAAGAGTGCTTGCGAGACGACTTTGCTTCCAAGGGCTGTCATGCTCACTTGAATGTGTCAGTGTGTTTGAGTGTGGCATGGCGCTTTGTGACACATCCTGTGTGTGTCTGGATGGGTGTGAATCTGTGTCCTGGCATGCCTGATTCACTGCAAGTAACCTCTCAGCTTCCATTGTGAGTTTTACAGAGTATGAGTAAAATCTGATCAGACAGTACCTACTGTTACACTGCACATCTGGATTTTTCATTTAAACATGCTTTTCAACCTGTCTAGCTATGAATGACTGTCTGCTAGCTCAACTGTCAAGATAAATTTGGATCAATATTGCAGAAATTAAAAAGTCTCCAACAATCACAACCAGAAAGGGAATTAGTCTGTAATGGTCTATAACGGAGGTCTTCAATGTCAGACCTTTAATCTAGTACCTATCCTGGATTTTGTAATCCCTTGTAGTTAAACGAACTGGTGATAGTTGATTGATCACTACTGTCATACCTACCAGTTATTACAAACTCCAGGACTGGAAACCAGTAATTACAAACTCCAGGACTGGAAACTGGATGCATGGAATGGGTTTAAAGACCTCTGATCTATAATGTGAATGTATCAATCAGGGTCACACTACCGATTGCACATGAACAGTGACTACCACTTGTTTTTTTTAAGAATGATCATTATGATAGCAGCTAGCGACTTTAAATACACTTGCTTTTGTGGTGTATGACATACTGTTATCTATAAAAGTGGACAGCCTAAAATGAAAAGCCTGAACATTTTTGTTCACTTTTAAATATATCGGTATGTCATACAGTGTCAGAGACCACAAAAGCAAATCTATTTGAGATTATTTAACAACTTAGCAGAGTTTGAGGCAGCGTAATTTAGGCATACAGTTTGTTCGGTGCTAGCTGTCGAGGCATAAGGCTCCATTACTTTGTAGCTATATTAGCCTTGTAGCTCCGGTGCAAAACAGTTGATTACATTTTGGAAAAAAATGTAATGTGATTTTAATGAAAAGCTGCAAAATCTAAATTTGGGATTAACTAAAGAAAATGCGTAATTAAAGAAAACGCATTAGTGCTCAATCCCGTTCAGTGCTCTTAGCAGCACTTCAAACAGTGCACTGACTTTTTAGTTACCTCATTTAAATTTTACAGCTTCATGAGGTTTAAGTCCAGTTCTCTTTGTTGTCATTCTCTGAATAATGATTCTCTCCTTTTCTCTCTCTCTCTCTTTTTTTGCCTCTGGCTTTTCTTTTTTTTCCCCCCCAGATGTCAGTGGGGCAGCCGCCAGCAGGACGGGGTGCGGTGTGTCTGACATGTAAAGGGATCTGCTCTGGATTCCAGCCACATTCCTGGAGGTGATTTATTCTCTCTGCTAAAACGTAAAGAAAATGAGGAAACGGGTTCCTAGCCCTTCTCGCTCCTTTCCCCCGACGTTTGCGGAATGCTCTGCTTGATTTGCCGCAAGCGTGTCGCCACCCACTGTGGGTGTCTCTGTTTAGATTTCTGCAGGCTTGAAAGATGATTCGTGGCAAAAACGCAGGCGAGTTGAAGCAAACCGAAATGTTTTTAAAAGGTTATTGCACTTGATCTGATATAAGCTGAGCACTGCTAAGTGCACATCATGTAAGCTGTTGACAATGGAAATGCATTTTGTTGTTTGGTTCATGCTTTGAACTCGCTGGACTGTCTAGACTCATTACATACAAGCAATTATAACAAATGTTCATTTACGTTATTGCTAAGAAACCAGCTATTGATGGATCTCATGATATTTATCATGTTATTTATCTGTCCTGTCAGTCAGGCTGTCAAATCCAAGAGCATAAGTAGTAACTCGGCACTTGAGTGCATCGTGTCATAGCAAAGAACCGAAACATGCTGCATTTGCTAATCAACAGTCTCTACATTTATACTCCAACAGAAAAGCCTGCGTGCAGTGCCACTGCAGCCAGGAAGACCACGCTCCCAGCTCGGACGTCGAGGATGACCGCAAGATGGGCCGACTGCTGGCGGACTCCAAGTATGCCCACCTGACTGCAAAAGTGAAGGGTGGAGACGGCCTGAGGGTCTACAAACGCAACCGTATGATCATCACCAACCCTGTGGTGTCTCGCAAAGACCCCACCTTCAACACCATCACTTATGACTGGGCTCCACCGGGCCTCACCCAGAAACTGGTAAGAGAAATCTAGAGGGAGTCCATCTGCTAGAAACTTGTCACTACACGGGACTGAGTGCTGCCAGCTAGGTCACAAAGCAATCCTCAACACAATACATGAGTCACAATTTGATCACGATGCATCATGATATCACAGGTTAACACTCCACACAGATTCTCAAATGATGGCATCTCTGCTAATGCGAATGTGCAGCAAACTGCAAGCAGGTTATTAAGGCTACTCTGTTAAGACATTCTGTAAAACAACTTACTTATGTACATATAAATACAGTGGAAATTAATTTTTACCCAATTTTATCCTGACCAATTCCCATCTACTAGCTCAGGAGTAGAGAACTGAGGGCCAGGAGCTCACATTTTGCTGATTTCTGTGCTCTGACACAGAATAAACCAAACTATGCAGGAATCCAGCCCTCTAGGACCACCTTTGACATGGTAGCACCACTTATCTAAACACCTTTGCCACAAAAAGATTTCAATAGAATAGCTGTCATATGTAAAATATAAGAATAAAATGATAAATAACTCTGCTTAATTTTTACCCATTGTCACATTGGTGGAAGAAACACAATTTTTGGGAGCTTTATGAATGTTGAATTATGAAACAAAATTAAATGATATTTTAATATAATTTTTTTACATTTACACTTAAGTGCTGTTATTTTACAAGATGAATGCTCATTTTCTGTATTTTCATCTTTATATTCCTCTGCTCTTTTACAAGAACTTTGGCTGTGAAAAGACATTTTTACAGTCTGTATTAGATACCTTACATGGTTTACTGGCATTTTTTGGCTACTGCTACCATTACTCCTAAAAATAAAGGTAATTAGGATTCCTTGAAGTGATGCCTCTTTCTTTGGATGGGCCACTTTCTATGCATCAAAGAATTTTTCAGTGGATGGTTCTTAAAAAAATATTTTAAACTACTGTAGTTTGCCTATTTCCATCCATTAAAAGGTTCTTTTGCAAACCAAAAGTGGTTCCTCAATGGCAGAGGTGGGGAACTGAGAACCAGATTCCAGCACAGTTTAATTAACTACAATTCCCCACTCTGTTCTATGGAATCACTCCAAATAACTCTTTTTGACATCTTCATTTGTAGTAGTGTACAGGTTTTAAGTAGGCACTTCACCCGCACTGACTGAACCACAGTAATAGGGAAGAATTAGAGGTGGGCAATATGGCCATTATATCACAATATTTAAAGACATTTGCATGACATGCATCACAATATACAGCTTTTCTGAGTTTTAACAAGTCGGAACAGACACAATAAAACCTGCAGTGCCACATAAAAAATACTATAATATTTAATAAATAATAAACCTACAGCTATCATGATTTTATTTCATCTTTAATTTCATAAAATTTCATTTTAAATTTCATCTTAGAAATTTGTATTGTGACAATTTATCATGATAGCGATTATATATCGACACACTGCCCGCCTCTAGTGTGAATACACAGAAATACATATGTTTCAATTGAAGGCTTCACAGCTCTATTACTACAGTCACTGAACAATGCAGCATGGTGAAAATTCACTGTTGACAATTAACATTCTTTGTCACTGTGAAGAAACTGTTAAGAAAGGAGTCCTGATGTTAGTATTATAAAACGAGCGAGACAGCCAGACTTTGTTTCGTTGTCCAGGAAAACCCACTGGGATGTTGAGCGAAAAATAGACCTCGCTCCTTGCTTGCCATAAAGGATTGCTTCGCATGATTGACATCCAGTCTGCTCAGCTTCCTAGCTCACATCAGCTCAGTGAACAAAGGCTAATAAGATTGTTAGCGATATGAAGCTGCAACGGTCTAACAAACACTTGTCGGTGCTTTGTTCTCTGGCTGCACATGTGGACGTCAGGGGTAGAATACTGGAATGAGGGCTGCTAGTCATGTAATGGTGCATGATAAACATCACATTACAATATGTATTGTGGTTCTTTTTTCGAGTCCAATAATGAAAGCATAACACAAGCAACAAGTGATTTTACTTTTTTTTTTATTTTAGACAAAAACATTCTAATTCAAAGTGTAAATCTGTTCTTACTTCTGTGGTTGTCTCTTTTAGAAATTTCATGAACAGGAATATCAAACCTGAGAGTACCTTTAGTAGAACAGTGGGAACCATTCTCGTACAGTTTACAGTACCGTTCAGAAGTATGGTAACAACATCCTTGCTTCCCAAAAAAAAAATCACATTTGATTGATAAAATGATTATGATTGCAGTATAAAACGATTGAAATATGTTAGTCTTGTGTACATTCATGCAAAAGCTATGGTTATGTTTTATTGATTGAAAATAACACATCATCCTCAGACAGCATACTTAAATATCACATTTTTCTGCAGATTTTAGTGCACATTTTATAGCCGTTTGCCTAGTATACCATATTGGAAAACAAAATATAGAACTATTCTTTTGCGCAGGCTATGCTTTATGATTTATTTTTTTCTCAGTATTTAAAATTCACCAAATACACAATAATTGTGTATTAAACTGTGCAGGCAAATGTGTAGAAGGTGTGTTAACTTATTTTCTTTTAGAACATTAACAAAACATCTCATTTGACCAGCGGTGCCCAAACTTTTGCATACAACTGTACCTTCACAGGTACAAAAAAATTGATTGGAATCTGAGAATCTGAAGAAAAATAGAAAAACATTTTTCAGACAAGTTCAAAGTAGATTTTTACATTTTATCGTTTGTCATTTTAAAATGAAAAAAAATAATAAATCAAATTTAAATTACCACATTTAAAACTAAATAATTATTGAATTCTGAGTAGTAGTGCGCGTATGATCACAGATAATTTTTTATCATAAAATATGACCGTATGTGATTCATACTCAGTGCTGTATTGAAAAAAAGAAAAAAATAATATGTGTATTGTGCGACCTCTGGCCTAAACCCTGGAACAGGACAGTTCCCTTTGTCCGTGGAATGCTCCGACTCCCAAAGCTGCCACCCGGGGAATGAAGCTGACCTTTTCTCTATCGCAAAGCCTGGCTGTCACTGCTCCTATTCTTATACAAAGCTCTAATTCACCCTGGCCAGAGTGCTTGGTTGTCAGGGAGGTGGGGAGATTTTAATACTGTGATTGGTCCTGCCAGTTGCACCAATGGCAATATGCGGTGGGTTAGAGACCTGGCAGGAAGACTTCTGCTTTACTGTTCCGCTCTCGGCTGCCAGAAAGCGTGTCCGCTGTGTGCCGAAGCGAAGGACTTTCATCTCTCAGGAGGATTGTGGGAAGCTGTTTTTTCAGCCCCCAGTCTTTTCCTGCAATCCAGTTGTGTTGGAGAGCTTTGTTCTCTATAGCTGGTCTGGCAGGTTGACTGCAGAGGAATTTGGACTTGTGGTTTTATTTGATATAGATGAGAAGGCCTACACAGCACTAGCACAGCATCCAGTAGTTATCCGAACATTGTTTTTCCAACCATTTAAACAGTGAGAATTTGAACCGAGCATGCCTCAACGACTGTTTTAAAGAGACTTTCCTCTCCGCATGCTGTGCTGCGGCTGTTGTTACAGCTATCACGGTTGTCTGTCCTAGTTTATAATAAACTGCCTTATAAATTACTTAGTAGTAAAGAACTGTAGCGCTATTGTTTGTCACGCTCAGACTCCATGCAGGGCGACATAGATGTTTTCATTTATGAGGCTTATGAATATCTGTGGTTGCTTTAAAGTATGCCTCATCATGCCATGAAGAACAGTAGGGCTACCCAGAGGGTGACTGTGGTGCGGTCAATAGCCGCGGGGTTTGGGCCAAATCTGCCAGGAAGTTAGCATAAAGAGAGGATAATAACATAGGCCTGGTTGTAAGCATGCTAAATCACCACCTGGTTTGAATGAGCTTATATAGAACCCATACTGTTCTGTGTTTCTGTCCAGCTGGCTGACTGGATGCTCAATTATCCATTTATTTTGAAGCAAGCAAAGTGTTGCTCCTTAGCTTAGCGACAGAGAAGTCTCTGTTAGCATCTACTGTGCTGCTGAGCAAGCAGGCCTTTTTTCTTTCAAAGAAGGAATGAATTCCTTCTAAATAGTGCCCAGGGCACTCATAATGTTGATTTACTCACTCAACAAGTCAGCCCTCCCTAACTACATGTTTGCTAAGAGAATGCTGAGCTAGCTTGGAACTAGCGACCCCCTTTTTTATTCTTTTTGGCCTCTTTGTATGTCTGAAAAGTGCATGGTACAGACATTATGCAGGCTTACACTGAAAAAAGTGGTTGATTCAAATGTGTACATCAATTTCACACAAATAAATTATATTACATCAACTCAGTCATTGCCAAAAGTAAATAAATTGAAAGACAAATTTGTGTTCATGTAATACACCACTGTGCTGTGTCAGAGACTTTCATGGGTTTGATTTCCAGTAAAATTGCCATTAAGTTATACATTTTTAGGAGATATGTCTGATGAGATTGAGGTTGCACCCCAGATTCTTAAGAAGTTAAAACAGTTTGTAAAGTAAAAACAGGCAGCAATGATTTGTTACTGCTTTTTGAACTGTATTCAGTTAAAACACCACAAAGGCAAGATATTTAATGTGTTAACTAATTAACTTCATTGGTTTTTGTTTACATACGCTTATCCTAAATTTGATGCCTGCAACATGTTCCAAATAATTTGGGACAGGGCCACATTTACCCCTGTGTTTCATCACCTTTCTTTTTAGAGACATTCAGTAATCTTTTAGGAACTGAGGACACCAAATACTGTGAAAACTGTGAAAGTGGAAAGTCAAATTTTTTCCCATTCTTGCTTGATGTCAAATTTAAGCTGCTCAACAGTTCAGAGTCTCTGTTGTTGTATTTTATGCTGCATAATGCAACATATGTTTTCAGTAGGAGACAGTTCTGGATTGCAGGCAGGCCAATCTAGCACCTGCACCCTCTTACTAAGACGCCTTGCTGTTGTAACACATGTAGGACATCCCGCTTTGTATCAGCAAGACTGTGCCAATCTACAGTATACTTTGC